TATCTCATAGATATCAATATGTGGTTCCTGGCTTTTCTGTTGTTGAGGAATCACCATAACCAGGCTAAAAAAAAATGTACTCCAAATACTGGAAATAACCATGTTAAGCAAAAGAAGTCGGACTTGGAAAGACACATAACACACGGTTTTTCTCATATCAAAGAGCTGTGCAAGCAGAAGGGTTGGCTACTTGGGAGTGCACAAATAAGGGTAACAAGAGATGACTGTGCTCAGGATACATGGCATTGGTGGATGAGAATGTCATCCTGAAACGCATCACTTTGTGCAATGGCTGACTGTATGCAAGCTTTAAATAAAACAGCTGTGCATGTTCAACAAGAGCGATTTGCAGGTGTATAGTCAGGGGTCAGTTTCTGGGAAGGGAAGATGGTCGGTCCTAGAGAAGTGAAAGCCCTCCCCGCAAGTGCCAGCACAGATGCAGGCTGTTGTGGTCTCCAGCATGCTATCACCTCATGCCCCACCTCCCTTCCCCATTTCAGCCACTTGCCGAATACCCAGCAACCCTCTGTATGTGCTGTAAACTGAGCCAAAAAGGAGGAATCAGAAATTGCTCTCTTTTGAGTATTTTGAAGGATGGTGAAACCTTGTTAGGAATGTTGCTCCGGGGACTGGGAAAACACCATATGTGGGAAAGCACTGCTGAGTGAGGAAACTAGCATGTGCACGCTGGTCGGGTTGCTGGAAAAGTCGAAGCAGGGAAATGGGCACTGGGGAGAGGGTAGGAAGGGGTTTTACTGAGGTCTTTAACAGGTCTTTTTCTAATTATAGCCAAGAAGAGCCTGGGGACTATGGCCTGCTTCAGAGCCAAGGCCTATATTTTCTTTGGGAAAAGAAGGCAGAGTTGATTGGCTTCCAATCCAGGCTTGGCAGAAGCCTATGCAGGATTTCAAGCCAGTAAGCGATGCCTTGGGTAGGTCTTGATTGGTGTCGGTGCCCATTCCATCAGCAGACACTGAGGCTCTGCAGTGATGCTGAGCCACAGGCTGGGCTTGTAGAATGTGTGGATTAAACAGACAGGGTCCCCATTGTGGAGGAGGGGACCTGCCGCTAACAGCAGCAGTAGGACCTTTGCTGAAGTTGACCCTTCTTCAGATAAGTGTGAGCATGCCATAAGTGAAAGAGAATTCCCTGCTGGGCTTGGCCAAGCTGACACCACCTCCCTGTTTCCACTTCCCACCCTAGGGAAATAGTCCCCTAGGGAAAATCCTACCCCAAGAGACATGGTAGGAAGTGAAGGGACTGCTGACTGAAAAGGGACCAGAGATTCCAGTCGCCCCTCCTCAGGGCCAGCATAGTCACAAACCTCACTTCCTGCTTCCTGCACTTGCTTCCTTAATCTCCCATCCCTGTGTATCCAATTCATGCTTGTTCCTTCTGTCCCACAAGCAGCATGGCTGGCCTGAGCTCCAAGCATGTGTGAGCAGTGACAACTGGGAGCGACCATGCTGGTACAGACTGCTGGCAGCCAGATGTAGAAAGAGGAATTTTCCAGATGTTTGGTCTTCTGTGTGTACATACAGCAGGGGCAGGCATGCAGCCAGCCTATTACCACGAACAACTCAAGTTCATGTTCAACTGCCGTTTCTAGTACACTCAGTGCATGCCTGATTGTGTCCCTTCAGTTACCCGATCATGAGAAAGCCTTGTTGAGCTTAGGAACCCAGTGTCCTCTAATCCCTGCAATCAACTAGCTGTCCACTAGGCCTCAGTTTCCTGTCTACAAAAATGAAGTATCTAGGGTCCTTTGCACCCTGGAATGTGTTGTTTTGGAAAATTCTTGTTCCAATATTCTTGGGATTGCTTTCTCCAAAAACAAAGAAAGGAAAGATGGGAGGGAGAGACGAAGGGAGAAGGGAAGGATAAAAATAGATTTTCAAAATGGAGTCCAGAGGATGCCTGCTGACAGTTTAAAAATGTTTACCAACCTGCACATGGCATACTCTCATGACTTGCTCCAAAGTGGATAAACGGTAGGCAACATTTTGCGTGAGGGAATGGGAGAGATCCATGCTAACTTCTGTGGGTCTATGAAGGATGCAGGATCTACTAAAGTAGCCATTTGGAGGACAGGCTGACAGATGTGAAGGAAGCATGGTGGCTGTTGTTGAAGGTAATTGGAGAGCATCAGAGAAAGGCCAGTGTATGAAGCCAGCAGTGAGGAATGAGGAAAATTTCACCAAAAGTGGCCATAAAAATGACAAGGACGGAAGACTTATCTGTGAGTCACAAAGCTTGCTCAAGCAGCAGAGAAATAGTGAATCAGGTTGGAGTGTGGGGCATGAGAACTCAGGACAGCTGTGATGGGAATCAGAGCAACAGGACAAATGTGATGGGAATTCGGAGCAAGAGGACAAAGACACCCCCACCTCCTCTTCCTGTTAGGCCCTCTGTGTAAACTAGCAATTGGTGATACCTGGAAGTTCTCTCAAAAGTCCATGTATTCAGGGTTTGGTCCTGGCTCAGCAGATACTAAAAGCTTTGGAGACATCTTCACATCACTGGAAGCACGCCCTGGGGCATTGCTCTCTCCTCCTCTTCCTCCTTTTTTCTTCTCCAGGTCATGATTGATTTTTTTCACTCAAGCACACTATTTTTTTTTCTTCCATATCACCAGAACCAAAGCAACAAGGCCAATTCATCATGACCTGAAGTCTCGAGAGCTATGAGCCAAGAAAACCTTTTCTTTTGGTAGCTGTTACAGTAGCTGAAAGCTGACTAGCAAATCAGTGAAGGTGTGGAGTTAGGTGTGCTTTTATATTTAAAAGATTTGCTTTTATTTTTATTTGTGTGTGTGTGTGTGTGTGTGTGTGTGTGTGTGTGTGTGTGTTTATACCACATGTGTGCTGGTGCCCATGAGGTCAGCAGAGGCTGCTAGCTCCCCCAGAATTATAGTTAGATGCAGGTGTGAACCACCCAACATGATTGTGGGCACTGAACTTGGGTCCTTTAGAAGAGCAGCAAGCACTTTTAACCCCAGAGCCAGCATTCCAGCCATCAATAGGTCTTTGCTAGCCACAACTTTTGCTTCAAAATTCAAGCTACCTTCCCAAAGGCTTCTTTCTTATCCCAAGTCCATCACACCATCCAAGATCCATCTTGCCAAATCATCCTCATAATTACCTTGCCAACCTCTGTTTGGCCTTTTGCTTTATCTGGAACCCCGCACACACAAATATGCCATCCCTGATTTGTTGCCCTGTGAGCAAATAGCCTCATGTGTCCAGGCTTTGGGATGATAAATTGTGGTTTTGGCTTTTTTGGTTTTTATAGATTTACAGTTTCAAAGGATTTTGCTGAAGCTGTACTGGGGTGGAGGTGAAGGCTCAAGCCGAGTGCCTGCTGTTTATTTTGTGTTCATGAAGTTTCATTTTGTTAGATTTGCAAGACTGACGGAAATGTCCCTTCTCTGCAGAGTGGGAGGGAGATTAATTACCCTGTGGGAACCATTTTCCTGGGATAACACAATTCCTGGAGTAGTCGCTAGGGCAGGCAGCCATGTTAGAAACCTTCCCTTAGCTTTGACCTTGAAGGAGTCAGTTACCCTAAGAGTGGTTCCCAGGGAGAGAAGATGCCCCGCTTTCACAGATGCAGGCTAGGAGCCAGAGGGTAGATGTGCAGTTAATGCCTGGACCTGTGTCAGCCTTTGCGGATGAGAGAGGAGATGGGGGAAGGGCTGTGTGGTGCATTCTGGGTACAGGCTCCTTCATGAAGATTCTGAATCCGGACTTCTTTTTACAGCTCGTGTCACCTTTGTTTTTTTCCCTTTGTTTTCCCCCTGGATTCTCTAAGATCTGTCTGAAAATACCAACACTGAACCAAGGGAAGGGATTTGATTTTCCATGTGAAGACAGAACTCTGAAGAGAAAATGCCCCTGGGGCCACTGGGGTGGCAGCAGCGGTGATTAAAAAGTGAATGCTCTGGGGGTAGGATGGGGGAACTGTAAGGTCAGGGTCACCAGCTCAGCTGTCTTTCCACCTGAGAGGCTCCCTCTGGGGCTAACCTTCTGGAAACATGGGCTTGGCCCTAGTGCAGGAGAGGTGTGTGAGGAAGACCTCTGGATCACTCTGCAATTCCACAAGGACTCACCAGGAGCCCTGTGCTGAGGTTCTGTTATGGCAACAGGAGAGTGCGGTGGGTTAAGAAACCATTTAGAAAGGGAGATCGTAGAATCAGACGGAGGACTACAAAACGAAATAGAATAATGGAAACTAAAAATCCCTAGGAGACATAAAAGGAGGCAATATCCACCCTAGCTACTCAGAGCAGGTAGAGCCATTCCTTTGAGCTGGGTTTTGCTGGGTCTCTGTCTTCTGCAAGGGGTACTTCATGGAGCTGTGGCTTTTAGGGTTGGCAGATATGAGGGATGTCCTGGTGACACAGGTCCTTCCGAGAGCCTGACAGAGCACCTTGACTCTTAGGCACTCTAGGCAGGTGGCCAGTGGTCTTGTGTTTGTTTCCGAGGACAGGAGGGGCCAGGAGTGGGCCTCTCTCTGATGCCGCATTATAGAAACCACAGACCCACCCAGTTCCCAGCCTCAATGTGTCCCTCTGGAAGACCCTAAAGGCTAGAATTGGTCGATAGCATTACATGTCTTGAGAAAGTTACAAGGCTCTGATCTGATCAAGCAGTACACTGGTGCATTGGTGCAGTCCCCATGGTTGGCTCAATAGAGGGGACCACGTATCTTCCCAAGCTCAAGGGACTTGTCAGGATGTCATCCAGGATGTCATCGGTGCACAGCATGAGGCTGGGGAACAATGCAGACATCTAATGTAAAAACAACTGGTGCTGTCAGTCTAGGAAGCAAGCCATCAGAGAGAGACCTGTGGTGTTTCCTCTTGTTTCTCAGGGGCTGGGGGAGGAAACTGCTCCTTCAGCTTCTTCCTTAAATGGTGGTGCCCCCTCAGAGATCACCAGCCACAGGCAGCTGATACCAGAATGACCAGGACTTCCCAGCCAGAGATTAACACGCTTGTTTCCTTTTTTCAGATCTTACAGGTGAACAAGGTGATGTCCATCTTGTTTTATGTGATATTTCTCGCTTATCTCCGTGGCATCCAAGGTAACAACATGGATCAAAGGAGTTTGCCAGAAGACTCGCTCAATTCCCTCATTATAAAATTGATCCAGGCGGATATCTTGAAAAACAAGCTCTCCAAGCAAATGGTGGATGTTAAGGAAAATTACCAGAGCCCCCTGCCCAAAGCAGACGCCCCCAGAGAACCCGAGCAGGGAGAGTCCACCAGGTCGGAATTCCAGCCAATGATTGCAACGGACACAGAACTACTGCGGCAACAGAGACGCTACAATTCGCCCCGGGTCCTGCTGAGTGACAGCACCCCTTTGGAGCCGCCTCCCTTGTATCTCATGGAGGATTATGTGGGCAACCCGGTGGTAGCCAACAGAACATCTTCACGGCGGAAACGGTATGCAGAGCATAAAAGTCATCGAGGAGAGTACTCAGTCTGTGACAGTGAGAGTCTGTGGGTGACCGACAAGTCCTCAGCCATTGACATTCGGGGACACCAGGTCACAGTGCTAGGGGAGATCAAAACCGGCAACTCCCCTGTCAAACAATATTTTTACGAAACAAGGTGTAAAGAAGCCAGGCCAGTTAAAAATGGTTGCAGGGGAATTGATGACAAACACTGGAACTCTCAGTGCAAAACGTCCCAAACCTATGTCCGAGCACTGACCTCAGAAAACAACAAACTCGTAGGCTGGCGCTGGATACGAATAGACACTTCCTGTGTGTGTGCCTTGTCGAGAAAAATTGGAAGAACATGAATTGGCGTCTGTCCCCACATATAAATTATTACTTTAAATTATATGATATGCATGTAGCATATAAATGTTTATATTGTTTTTATATATTATAAGTTGACCTTTATTTATTAAACTTCAGCAACCCTTACAGTATATAAGCTTTTTTCTCAATAAAATTCGTGTGCTTGCCTTCCCTCAGGCCTCTCCCATCTGTTAACCTTGTTTTGTGCCGGGCTCTTGGGAACCCTTCTGTAAAACCCGTGTACACCAGTATTTTGCATTCAGTATTGTCAAGGCCATGACTGTGGTTTTAGTAAACTTCTTAAAATCAGACGATGTCAGAGTTGTGTATAAACAGAATTCTATCCTCCTGGTATATCCAACATTGGATTAATGAATTAAAAGAACCACTATGGCCTCCTTTGAAAATGGTACCTTGTAGCCTGTCTCTGCAGTCTCCTCTGGACAGCAAACTCACAATCAGGTCCTCACTTGCTCTTCCCAGTTCTGGGGCCTGCCAATTAGAACTGTGGTTAGCGCCAATAATAACGAACCTGGCAATTTTACTTTTCAGCACATTTGTTGTTTTGGGATTGTGTAAGGGTTGGATTTTTTTTTTTCCATTTGGCTTTGGTTTTGTTTTTGCTTTTGGTAAGTGGTTTTCATCCTTTTAGACAGAGAGGAAAAAATTTTCTAACTATTCCTAACAGATTTTTTTTTTTTTTTTTTTTGTGTGTGTGTGTGTGTGTGGTGTTGGGGTTCAAACTGTAACAGAAAAATTATATATCTACCCAGAAGCAAACTGAAATGGCTCATGAATAATCCATAAACAGAAGATAAATGTACTCATTACAGATTCTCTTGGCCCAGGGCCTTCCCCACTGATCCTATGGCCTGCCTCCAGCTCATGAGCAGTTGTAAACGGGTAGCCTTGAGAGGAAGGCCTGGTTCAAACTCCAGCACCTCCCCTATGACCTTGGGAAGGGTTTGAATACTACCAGAGCCTGGGTTTCCTGGGGATGCAGTCACATGGAGATTCCCAGGACAGCTGATGCATCAGTGGAGTGCCCATTATAAAATTAGTAGCCAGAGGTAGGCCTCTGAGAGTGCCATTGACTGTCCATTGCTTGCTTCTTTCCAGGATATTACGGTCAACTTTGTATCATTGTTAATCAATGCAACCTCGAGAAGCAAACAGTCCAAATGAAAAGCACTTTCCTGGTGCCTGCTGGGTCCTGACAAGGGATCACTGTGGTGATAGCCTCTGGTCCTTGTGAGAGTAGGGACATTAGTCATGCCCTGCCCCAAAGAGTTTCTTGTGTCCTGTTCCCACTTCGACATAGCTCATCCTGTTGGAGCTGCAGCGTAAGTACTCTGGTCTCTTTTCTTGCTAGAGGTACAGGGGTCTACCACTCCAGCATGGAAGCCTCTGTGACAGCCCTAACCCAGCCACAAGCCTGCTCTGACCTGGATTGCTCTGCCTTGGTTTATGGCCTATGTGTGCACTCTCTCTCCAAGTCCTCTAACATGTACAAGGAGAACACACGCCCTCTATATGACATGAGTATTTGAAGCAGATGCAGCAAATAGCAACAATGTGGTTTAAAAACATTGTTTTATACTCAAGTCTGGGTCCTAAACTGTGAGAGCAGAAAATAAGACACCTACTATGTCCTCTCCATGCATTGAACACTTTCAAAGATGGATGACATTATTTGTCAAACCAAAAAAATAAAAAGAAAAAGAAAGGAAGGGAGGGAGGGGGGAAGGAAAGATGGAAGGAAAGAAGGAAGGAAGGAAGGAAGGAAGGAAGGAAGGAAGGAAGGAAGGAAGGAAGGGAAAAAAGGAAGAGGCATTGCCATCTCAGGGTGAGGAAACTGAGGTAGGTTGAACTTGGCTGTAGTCATTTTGCAGGAAATTGGCAGAGTGAGGAGTTAGGTTCATATATCAGTGATGACATTGGATGCCCATTGTTTCCCTTCTAGCCAGACAGCATTGCATTTCCCATGACTGCTGCAGTGCTAAGGGGTGAGAGGCATAGTTCTCTCATGGAGACCTGCTACGACCTGTGTTTCACCGGCTGTGTGCAGGACAGAGAGACCAGCAGGTAATCAAACAGGGCCTAGTGAACAGCAGGGCTCAGGGACTCCAAGAGTGTTTCTAAGGAAAATGTAGCACCCCAGATGCTGGAGGCCAACCACACTGGAAACACCTAAAGAGCTGAGGTCGGGACGTAAGTGATGGTGGTGGTGATATGAGAGGGTGGCATAGTAACTCTCATCCTGGAATTCTGGTGGAAGTTCCACAGTTGCAGAGTACTTATTAAGGCTTATCCATCACCTACCGCATAAGAAGGGGACCTTAGGATAGCACCTGCTAATTTCCCTTTTTGCAGGCCTCTTACCAAGCCTCCTTCTCCATGGACACACTGGGTGAGGTATTGCTTACCCTTCAGGCGGTGAAACAGTATTCTGTTAGCAGCTGTGCCAGCTTCTTTTCTGAAGGTCTGTATTATGTTCTGCCTCCACCTCTAATATTCTTTCCAGGATGCTGTTGTTACCCCTGCACTTGGAATCTGTTACATTACTCTGCTCGATGCTCCCTTTCTCTGTGGATGCCTGTGTGTCTATGCGTCCTTCATTGTTGGTTTTCAGTGTGGATGCTCTCCACTGAGGCTGGGGAGACCATTTGCATCTGTGCTTATCATCGCTGACATCTCTGAACATGTGATCAAGAATGAAGCCGACGTAGCCATTCACAGGTATCTGGAGACTCCCATGACTTCATGGGAAGACTCGTCTCCAGGCCTCAAGCTCTGATGGCCATGGGTATGCAAAGCCATCGCTGAGGGTCTCCACTTAGGTTGTGCTTCACTTCACAAGCTCCAGCCTTGTCCAGGGACACTATGGGCTCTGCCTCAATCAGAGTACCCTGAAACTCAGGAAGAGACTGTCCATAGCAACAGCCCCTCACACTGTGGCCCTGGCTCCTAGGCCAAGATCTGAACTCTCTGAAGTCTTGTATGTCTGAAAACTGGAAGCTCTTCCTCAAGATCCCTATTCTCACTTCTTCTCAAGCTACATCCTCATAACTTTCTCACGTTGCAGTGGGCTGGTGGCCTACTTGATGGATGCACATTCCACAACACCTTGAGATGCAAATACTGACTCAAGCCCCTAAGTTTTGATTTGGCTCTGGATAGAAGTTGCTCCAGCCTTGGAGAACAGAACTCTGACATAGGTCAGAGCATTCTTAAGAACTAAGGGTGTGTTTGCTTCAATGCTCAGCCATGTGGAGTCAAGGGGTACAGAGGGGGCTGATATTCCTCTACAGATGTTCCTGTGTAGGGACCCCAAATGGGGAGGGGCAAAGAGGCAGGAAAGAAGTGTTCCAAGGGTACCAAATGCCCTTTGTTTCTTCTTTTAAAAATTGTTATGTGTATGGGTGTTTTGCCTACATGTATGTCTATGCACCACCTACTTGCCTGGTGCCAGGTCCAGAGAAAGCAGTTCCAGAAAATTGTGGGTCACCAAGCCAGTGCTAAGAATCCAGGTCCTCTGGAAGAGCAGAGCTCTTATCTGCTGAGTCATCTCTCCAGTCCCACTAAATGCCCTTTCTTGAAGGAACTGGCTACCACTGAGTCTGGCTGGGTTGAACTGTTGTGCGGGTCACTGACATTTCGGGTTAAATTACAGAACGCTCTGGAGCAAAAACACATTAAAGTTTATTGGGAAGTTGTGAAACACAGCCTAATGAATTAGACAGCTATTCACATGGAGATGGATGAGTAAGAAGGTATGCATGCCTGCAGGCCTCTGTGTGTGTGTGTGTGTGTGTGTGTGTGTGTGTGTGACTATTTTGATATCCTAACCATTGATGCATTGCATTTTTAAAAAGAAATTAATGCTTGAGGAAACCTGCCAGACATCTGGGGAGCATAAGAAAGAGACAAGAAAAGGTAAATGAAAACTTTACAAACAGGAAAAATAGCAGGCTGGGACTAGGGGTTCTCTTAGGAGCCGTGACAGAAGGATCTGGAACTGTAGACCTTCCAGTCTAGAAAGAAAGAGAAGGAAGCTGGCACTGGGGGCTGCAGATGGAGCCTAAGGTGGAACCAAAGTCAAGAGGGAAATCCTAAGAATGATGTCCTTTCTCCATGCTAGATACCTAGGGTGAATCTTGATAGATTCTCAAGTCATCCCTGGTGTTCCGTCCTCAGTTGTACAGCTGAGGGCATTTGTTGACAAAAGCTCTTTCCTGCAGAAACACAGCTAATCAGAGGGAAGGGCCAGATAGAAACCCAAGGAGTCTCCATGATTTAGAAGCCTAGGCTTCTAAATATGCAAGGCAGCAGTGCTAACTGCCTGAGAGGCCCTGGCCTCTGAATTTCAGTGGGGTCATATGAGGGGGTGTACACTTGGCACAGTCAGGGAGATGACATGGTCCACATTGCTGGGTTCCAAAGACTGTTCCAACAGTGGAGAATGGCAGTTTCGGTAGCAGGCTCCTGGCCACAAGGATTCTTAGTATGGTGGAAAGAAAACAAGCAGGGCTCTCTTACTAGATCCCTGCATTAGGGACAAAGTTGCTTCCATTTGTGGTATAGAGAGTGGCCGTCAACAGTAGTCATTTAGGTATTCTGCAAAGAGATAGAAGGCAGGAATTTCTATTTAGACACAAACTTTGAGATCCAGTAATCCACTCTCCCTTATAAGGTAGAAATCTATTTTTATTCATTTAATACTTTAAAAAAAAAGCATGCCTACTAGGTAGTGGGCACTCTGCCCAGCTGTATGCTCAGTGCTCACAAGAGGTATCTTCGCCCCTGGAAGAGTAGTGAGTATAAAAGGGATGGGGCCTCAGGGAAGGCAGCGCGGAGTCGCCTTGACAATTCCCACGCCTCATGATGAGTGTGCCTCAGCCAGCAGCTTGCTCTATTTTAAAACAGCCGTGACTATCTGATAGAAAGTCGCTCCCTCGGCCGAAGCCAAATCAGGAGACAAAAATAGTTGTAGCTAGCT